TGAGTTGTATTTTCTCCGCTTCCCTGGGAGATGTGGGCTTAGACCACTGGGGGCAGCTCATGCTGTACTCCTTGAGGAACTGCTCCAAGGTTCAAGGGGCAGATTGCATAAGGAGGTTTGGGTTGTGCAAGAGGTAGGCTATGGAGAGCCCACTGAGTAACCAGACACGGCAGACAGGGCTGTGGCTAGGGACCACACTGACCAGCCCTCCTGTCATGTGTTCATGGAGTCAGGGACAGAGGATTGGACATAGGGCCAATCTCTGTCTACTGTGAGGAAGGCCCTGGCATGGCTACTCCCACACAGTGTTTGGGGAGCACTGGAGTCACAGCAAGGACACCTGGGAGAGGCACTCAGGGAAAGAGGTACCCTCACCTTCAGCCTTTTGGGGGGCAGTGCATGAGGGGACCACTGTTTCCAACCAACCCAGCAACCCCCAGCCCACACCCAGGCTGCCCCCCACCATGTTCACTTTGTCTGTAGATCGCTTGGTTGCATCAAATCTGCTCGATATTTTCTGCTTCCTGGGTATATTTTGGAAGACAACTCTGCACCATTCATGGGAAGGAAGATTCCTATGAGGTGACCTGGGGACAGAGGATGTAAGGGCAGCCGAGCCTCCTAACATTAGAAAGTTGGTGCTGCATACTCTCCACAAGGACCCCCTCAGGACAAGGACAGAATGCAAAGGGGCGTCCTCACTCTGTGACTTGGGTGATTTAGAGTCTCCTGATCTGGGTGGGCCCATGGAGCCAGCATCTGCAGGTACCTGCCACACTACAGAATGTTAATTGCACCAGAGAGAGGCCTGGGGCCAGGGACTGGCCTTCCCACATCCTGGCATTTATTAACTGCACGGATTCCTCCTCTTGCATCTGCCTGCAGTGCACAGAGGTGTGGGGTCCTAGGACGGGAACCGCCTCACGCGCAGCCTCTCTGTTCCTTGGCAGATAGTGAACGCAAGCTCCACGGATCCCTTGGTGGTGACTGACGGCAGTGGAGGTGCCCCAGGGGTGAGTGACCTACACCTTGTGCTCAGCAGGGGCATTATGGGGGTCACTGGGGGAGCCAGGCAAGGGCTGTCTGGAGGCAGTGGCAGGGGGTCAGCCTGAGCATCCCTGTTTACATACGGCCTGGGTATACAGTGTCTGAAGCATGGCACTTGTGACTTGGATCCCAGAGGTGGTCACTGTTGGGGCTCCTGGTGGGGGGTGTGGGGTTGCTCACTTTGAGCACAGCCCTTTCCTCTCTCACATCTGACTCCTCTGTGTGCTTGTTCGTTCTCCTTTCCTCTCTGACTTGTGCATTTTGTTTCTGTGTCTGTGTCTGTGGGTCTGTTGGTTGGCCAGCCTGTCTGTCTGTCTGTGTCTGTCTGTCTGTCTGTCTCTCTCTCTCTCTCTCTCTCTCTCTCTCTCTCTCTTCAGTAGGCCTGACTGCACCTTGGGTAGGTATGGACCCCCCCAAGAGGCCTCAGACCAGCCAATGACTCAGACTGACCAGAAATGCTGACCACAGCTCCTATGACCCTGACCCTGAGCCTGTAGGGTTATCACTACTACCTGGGTTTTCTCACAGACAACTCTGTTCATAGAGGAGGTGGAGGACAGTGAGGTGAAGCAGGGGAAAGGAGCTTGCTCTGGGAATAGGGCCATCCTGGGCCATGAGGAGCAGGGTCAGGGTCTTTCTTGCCCCTAACTCTTCAACAGGATGACTCTCTTCCCCTGTGGAACAGTGTGGCACCCTGCAGGGAGGGGTGGGGGCTCTGCCCAGGTGGCTAAGAACGTGCTCCCACCCGAGCTTTACCATGTGCGACAACGCACAATGTTGAGGAAGCTCAGGAGGCTTTGGAAGGCTGAAGCATTTTGGGGGCATGACCAGAAGGAGGGAAGGGATAAATACCCACAGGCAAAAAAGAGGCCCTTTATTCAAGGTGCTACCTGGCTCTGTAGTGCAGACACTTCCCAAAGGCAAATTTTGTTGAAATTGAAAGACAGATAGTCTGAATCTCTCCACGGCAGCCTGGGGTGGAGGTGGGATGATACTGGAAACATCTGAACTCCCAGAGTGGCTTCCTGTTTGTGTGTGGCTGTGCCCGCTTCTTACACACACACAGCCTCCTTGTACACTACCAGGCCTGTGGCCTTTGCACCTGTTGTCCTCTCTGCCCACCTCTGTGAAGCCCTGTGGCCTGCCCCAGGAGTCCGGAAAAATGCTTCTCTCCTCAGTAACTGCCTGGGCTGCTAAGTGTGTGTGTGTGAGGCTGACCAAACCCAGACTCAGGTGACTCCATGAGTCACTTCTTAGAGCATCCAGGAATGTGTACAAAGCAGCACACGATTGTGGGGTGTGGCTGCCCAGACTGCTGCTGGAGGAATGCTGGTCACGTGGTCCAGGAAAGCTTGTGCAGGTCACACATGTGTGGTGAACTCCACAGTCAGCCCCATGTCCCTTGGCAAGGGCCGGGTTCCCTGACCATCTTCATGGTGGTCCCCAGATGCTCCACATTTCCCCAATACCCAGTCCTCAGCCCTAGAGCTGCAGGGAAGCAGAAGTGGAGGGACCGAGGGTGGGAAGCCACAGGTAGGAACAATATGTGTTGTTTGGAAGGACAGCTGCACATAAGGCTGCCCAAGGGGCCTCAGCTTGGAGCATTTGTATGTGACATAGAGTCCCAGGCTGGAGGGTAACTGTAGGATCAATGCCCAGGGAAGACACGTTCTAGCTGAAAGGATCCTGAAAGCTGTGCTTTAAAAGTGTTTTAGACTATGGGAACACACACATTCTGAACTGACCCTAGACTGAGGCCTCAGGAATTTCTGCCCATCCCAGCCTATTTCCCCTGGACAAGGAGGCCAGGGAAGCTGTCAGTTACATAGCTGTTCCTCCTGGCTGCCCACCTCTTTGTCTGGTGAGAAGGTCTCTGGGATCCCCCAAAGTCAAGGCCTCCATTTGTGTCCAGAGTCAGCCCGGTCAGGCTGTTGTCATCAGCCCTGCTGGAGACTTTGGCCCCAGTGGGCCATGGGGATGTGCCACCTGCTCTGCTCACCTGGACTGCTCTTGCCTCAGAGCCCTCTACAGGTTTTGCAGCGTGCATCCCACAGAAGTCAGCTGCTTGGGTCACAATTTAGCCCTACTGCCTTGTAGCTGTCCCTTCATCTACACTAAGGGGTAGCATCCCCTTATTTAAAAACAGCCCCGGGGCTTGGGAGGTAGCTCAGCAGTCTAAGTGCCTGCCCGGCAAGCGTGAGAACCCAAGTTTGATCTCCGGCACCATATGCTGTGCCAGCTCTGGAACGCCAGGCATACTGCGAAGGCCACTGAAACTGGACGTGGTGGTACATGTCTGTAATCCCAGCGTTAGGGAGGCTGAGACAGGAAGATCACTATGAGTCAGAGCTGTGTAGCAAGACCCTGTACCAAATACATAAAATAAGTAAAAGATTAAAAACAACAACAACAACCAGCCCCTCAACCACAGTGCTGCACTTGCGAGGAGGCTCCTGCCCTGCAGAGAACATTCCTGTGTTTCCTATGGTGTCTTCCTGAGCAGACATGAGCTGCACTGAACTTTGTGGTGGGACCCAGGATGGGCACACCCGTCAAGCTGCACTGAGCAAGTGAGGCAGGACACACAGGTGCTCAGTGGACCCTGATGCGGTGCTCCAAAGCAAGTTCAGTTCAACACTTTATTTCCCTTTCTTCCCTCCCCTTCCCTCTCTTTCTCTCTCTTCCCCTGCCCTCCCCTGCCCTGCCCTGCCCTGCCCTGCCCTCTCCTCTTCCCTTCCCTTCCTTCCTCTTCCCTTCCCTTCCTTCCTCTCCCCTTCCCTGCTCCCCTCTCCTCTCCCCTTTTCTCCTCTCCCCTCCCCTCTCCTCCCATTCCTTCCCCTTCCCTTCCTTTTTCCTCCCTCTTTCCCTCCCTCCCTCCCTGCCTCTATCCCTCCCCTTGTTTCTCTCCCTCATTCCTTTCTTCCCTTCCTTCTTTCTGGCCATCTGTGATTGAACCCAGAGCCTTTACACTGGGATATATCCTCAGCTCCTTTCCCTTTTATGTTTTTTTTTTTTTTTTCCTAGTTTTTGCGACAGGTTCATTCAGGTACTCCATTGCCCTGGCTGGGCTTAAGATTTGATTCTCCTGCTACCTAGAATGCTAGGATTCCAGGCATGTGCCATGATGCCCAGATATGGTGTGATGGTAAAATTCCCTGAGCTGAGATGTCTTCAGACATATAATTTCTAGGGCCCAGGGAGATATCTCAGTAGAATAAGTGATTGCCTGGCAAGCTCAGGGTCCTGAGTTCAATCCTTGGTACTGAAAAAAAAAAAAAATTCAGACATACAATTTCTGTAATCCCTTCCTTCTTAAGAAAATTTAAACCACAAGGATGTTTTGCAAGAGACCTTGCAGAATTCACACTTCCTCATTCTGTAAAAGTCTAGTTGCCCTTAACAGAAGCCTAGAAATCTGAAATCCCCTCCCCCCACCAAGGCCTCCAGACCTACCACGGGTGACACACGGACCCATGTGAGACACCAGCGAGGCACTTGCCTTGGCCAGTTTTGTGCCAGTGGCTCCCCCACAGTGCTCAAGGCTGCCTTCCATTGCTCCAGGGCAAAGCCGCCCAGAGAATAGAGGAACCAGGCCTAGCCTGTCCCGTGGCCCTGTGTCTGTGGCTTGTGCCCACATGTACTCCCTACTGTGCATCCCTTTGCTGTCTATTACAAGTGACAAAGCCTCCTTAAGTCTATTGATGGGGGTCCGAGTCTGTGCTACTGAATTCTCCCTCCAGTTTCTAATGTACAGCTACCTCTGATGAAGAGGAAATTTGGGGGAATAGCATCACTGGTGCTCAGCAGAAACCACATTCTGAGTCCACCTTAGCCCCTTTGGGGTCTCTGGAAGTGGAGTTGCTGGGTTGGTTATTGCACAAGCCACTGTTCTCCAGCTTCCTGGGAAGACGTGGCCTAGCCTTTCTGATGCTGACATCTACAGACTCTGAGCCCTTGTCAGATACCTGACATAGGTGCTCCTCGACTCACTGCCCATCTCCCTAGGCTTGTGAGAAGATCCTTGGGAGCCCCTAAAGTCAAGGCCTCAATCACTATTGAGTCGGCCTGGATCAGGCTGCTGTCATCAAGCCTGCTGGGCACAGTAACCACAATTGGCCAACTCCTTTGGTCAACCTGCCCAATAACCCCATTCAGAATGGAAGTGTGGTTGGCCAAGAGACCTGTCCCTGGCTTCCAGGTGGGCCCCTTCCCCTTGGCCATCTGACACCTGCAAGCTACACACCCAGCCAGACCTCTGTCTTAGGGTACTGGTGCGGTCATGGGCAGAACTGCATCAAGAGTGGGCAACAGAGGACCTCCACCTCACGGGAGCCAGTGCAGGACTGGGTCCTTGTCCAAGCCCTTGGCCTGGCTCTGCTTTCCTGACTGTGGGCGACCTCCAGGAACTTCCCCTTGAACTTGGGCTGGGACTGGCTTTCCACCGCTCTGAGTTCTCAGCCACCAACCCTGAGCTATCACAACCCCTGCAGCTCTCAGCATTCTCAGCTACTGTGTAGTGCTGCCTAGTGGTGTCTCCCAGGGACACTGAAAGCCACGTCAGGGCTTCCAGGCTGCAAATCACCTGGGCCCTCAGCTTCCTCACCTGAAAGTCAGGGATGTGGACTTTGCAAAGGGGAAGTGGGTGGAGACTGCAGGGCCATTGCAGGCCCCAGGATGGCCTCCTTCCTCTTCCCTATCATCTGCCTTCTCTCTACCCTCTCTGTGCCTTGGAGAGGGTACCTTCTTCTCACCTCAGAACATGTCTGCCCTCCAACAGTCCTGAGAGGTGGTCCAAAGGAGAGCCCTGCAGGGGCTGAGAGCAGTTAGGGGGCAACAGTGGCATGGGAAAGGTGCAGGCAATGGGGAGCCAGGATGAGGCCAGCTCCCACCTGCCCTCCCACAGGCCATGGGGTAAACCTCAGTGGGAGGCCAAGATCATCCCACACCTTCATCCTTGGAGCAGCTCCTGAGATAGAGACCTGGGCTCAGCATCAGGAGTGGCTCTCATCTCAGAGATCCAGCCCTGGTCCTGGGTCCCTCATGCAGGGGGCTGAGCCCTGGCCTCAATATGATGAGAGCTGTAGGCAACAACAGTGATGGAGTCCTGTCTCACGTGGCACAGCTGGTGGCGCAGGGCCAGATTTGGCACCAAGGAAATGCTATCATTTGCTGGGGCTGCAGTAACAGATTCCCACACAACTCAAACCACCGGTCCTGGAGGCTGGAGCCCAAGGCCAAATCGTTGTCAGTGTTGATTTCTCCTGCAGCCTTGCCACTTGGCTGGCAAATGGCATCTTCTCCCTCCATCTTCTGTATGTGTCTATGTCTTGACCTCCTTAAAAGGACCCCAGTCATACACTACCCCAAGGTGACTATACCCTAATAAAAGCTTTAAGGGCCCTCTATGCAAATAGTCACATTCTGAAACAGTGGAGATCGGGGCTTCAACATAAGATCTGAGGGAGACCCACGAAGCCAGTCGCATCATGGCTGCTCCAGCTCTGGTGTGCTGAGGATTTTATAAACATCCTTGGCTTTTCTTAAAATCTTAACAATGGTGACTTCTGTGTCAGCAAGAAGCCCTCCTTCCTCCCTGGAGAGGAAGCACTGGTGCATGTATTGGGAGGATTCCAAAGCACAGGCAACTATTCCTTTGCCCAGTGGCATTTCTGGGGTCCTTGTGACATGAAAGGGTATCTGGTATATAAGTACCATGCGCTAACCGATTGCGCCACTGGAGCTTCTTGAAAAGGTATCTGGTAACTTGCCCAAACCAGACAGGCATTTGTGTACAGGAATGAAGTTCAGGACAGGTGTTCACCCCATCTTACAGAGAGGAAACTGAGGCACAGAAGCGAAAAGGGACTTTTCAGAGTGTCCTAGTCACTGAGGGCACAGCAGGAGCCTCAGGTCTATCTCCAGCCTTGCACTGCTGGTGGTGAGAGAGGGAAACCAAGGCCTGAGGCTCAGTTGGGGCTCCAGGTGAGGCTGTTCTTGCCCTCCATCCCACTTTCCTCTGTAGGGACTTCAGGTGGCCTCACCAGAGACAGAGTGGGGCATGAGCCTTGGCTTCCCCGCTGTCAGCACTTGCACATGTGGGCACATGTGTGTCTGTGTATGTGTAATGCCTAGCAGAGTGTGGATGGTCCCAAATGCCCAACACAGAGCAAGTGTATGCGGGGTTAAGGATGATGCTAAAGATCTTGGGGCCCATGTGGCCATGGGGCTGCAGGTAGGGCCACTCTGTCCTCAGCACCATTCACTGACTGTGGAGACTCCTGCCCATCCCTGCCCATCTTCCTCCCCTTGGCTCCCACAGAGATGTTAAAAAAAAAACAAAAAAACAAAAAACAAAAAATCGTGGACCTAGTTCTGTCAGAAGTAAAGGTCCTGATGCATTGACTTGTACTCTGTGTTTTGCTGGGGGGTTGGTCCCTGGGGGAGAGGGCAGAAGGGCCTGGCTTGGCTGTTTACCTCACCCTCTCTTCATGGTCTACTTTTGCCCTGATTTGGGGGCGCAGGCATTGTCATGAGCTACTCCCACTCCCAGGGGGTAAGGTGCATGTGCTCTCCACAAACTGACGGCAGCTACTTGCCTCCTTTAGCTGGAGTCCAGAAAGCTGTCCTCTAAGGCCAGACGTGACAAGGAGAAACAGAGCTGTAAGAGCTGCGGCGAGACCTTCAACTCCATCACCAAGAGGAAACACCACTGCAAGCTGTGCGGGGTGGTGAGTGGGGAGGCTCCAAGCAGGGGCAGGCAGCTGCCCACTGGGGCCTCCACAGGGAGCAGGAGGCCCCCAGAGCACACATCAGTGAGCCCTTGGAGAACTACACTGTGGCAACCAAATCTCTCTACTCAGCTCTGGGGACCAACAACATTCTTTGCAGCAGAAAAAGGGCTAGGTTTGGAAGCATAGTGCCCTGGCATGAAACAGGCAGCAGAAAATGAAGGGTGTGGCCCCATGGAAATGCCCTTCTACTGGCCTGTACTCCAGCAATGACAAAGGTCTGGTGGCTTCGTGTGATGGGCAGCCACTCTGACTGGTGCCCCAAGCACACACCATCTCGACTCCTCTTCAGTACCTCCAATGCCTTGGCATCTGAGAATGGGCTGCTGAGTTGTTGCTCAGGAATGAACTTAAAAGTAACCCAAGGAAGGGATTGGCGATCCGGTACTTTTAGGTTAAGATATTAAAATCACATCTATATTAGTGAGTGGTTCTTAGCAGAGCCACTGGGAGCTGTTTTACAAAAAGGTACCAGCACCTGTGTCTAGACTGGTGTTTCTTGTAACTTCTTGTAAAACCTTGTCATGCTGACCAGAGTTGGCAGAAGGGGAGAAGAAATGGATGAGTCTTTGGATGGATGAATGAATGGTTGGATGGATAATGGATGGATTGGAGGGTGGATGGATGGGTGGACAGATGGGAGTAGGTGGATTGGTAGATGAGCTAAAGGGCATGCAGGACACAGTATCTCTCACAGGCTATGGCTCAGACCCAAAATGTACATAGGCTCAGGGAATCCAGCAAGGCCAGGTGGAGGATTTGCACAGTGGGCTCCAATGACCACATGTGGGTACAGAGTGTATGGGAGAAGGGTAGAGGCTAGGGTCCTCAGTGAGAAGAGAATGGAGTGGTTGGTGAGAGATGGGAGGGCTGTCTGACCTAGCACCAGTTCTGGGATGGGAGAGAAGTGGGCACCTAGGCAAGCTGCCAAGTGAAGAGATGGCTAGCATGTGTCAGTGCAATGGCCAAGTGGGAGGGCAGAGTGGGCCGTGCTCAGGGCTGAAGACACTGGCATGCAGTGGTGCCCTTTGAGTTCCCCAGTACTAATTAACAAGGTCAAGAGGGCATGGAAGACAGTCCACAGACTGGTGCACAACACAAGAGAGTAGGTTCATGCTACAAGGACCCAAAGGCCCTAGAACCAAAGTCATCCCTGCATTTGACCACAAGAAGGCCAGGATGGGATGATGAGGCAACATTCCCGAAGAGTGTGCACATGGCCAGGGTGCAGGGGTGTGTGGAAATGGTGCTGAGACAGGAGAAAAGATTTATGTGCTGGGATGAAGATGCAGCAGAAAGAGGGAATGTGAGATGAGAGATAGATCTGATAGCTGGAGGAGAAGAGGGGTCTGCCAGTGGGTGAGGTGGTGGGGATCAGGACGGTGAGAGTTATGGAAACATCCCTGGAGGCCTTTGGCGTCATTCCCATGTGCCACCTGCCTGTCTAAACAATACTCCCCATGGGACAGACAGACCATGATTTCTTGACTCATCCATTAGTGGACACAGCTATGCAAATGTCTCTTCAGGCTCCTGCATTAGGTTACTTTGAATATACACCCAGAGGTGGCATGGCTGGCTCACATCACTAGGTGATTCTGTTTACGATTCTGAGGAACCACCACACCATTTCCCACAGCAGCTGCCCCATCCTCTATCTCACAAGTAGCGCGAGGGCCTTGCAATGCCTCTGGGTGTGCTTGCTTGTTTGAGGAGAATAGGTGTGCTCAGGGTGTGAGGTTTTGATTTGTGAGGCTTTGATTTGGCCAGGATGGGTTCATTCTGATATGGGGGTCTTCTCATGTGCCAGGTGGCTCTTCCCCCTCTTGCATACAGATCCTCGGGCCTGAGTTGTTGGGGTGGGAAAGGCAGGACACTCAGGGGACTGTCCTTGCTCTCTGTTCTTAGGATGGGGCTCTGGATAAGCCTTTACTTTGCCCCACACTCTTAGGTCCCTCTTCTGCTGCTGACACAGAATGTGGGTCACAAGTTCTCTCTGTCTTGTAGGTCATCTGTGGGAAGTGCTCTGAGTTCAAGGCTGAGAACAACAGACAGAGCCGTGTCTGCAAAGGGTGTTTTCTAACTGAGCCTGCAGCCCCCACAACCTCCAGCACCGAGTCATCCACTGAGCCCAAGCAGAGCACACAGGTGAGTAGTCTAATCTTCTGAGACCAGAACAGATGAAGCAGCATCGCAACAGGGTCCACAGGCCTGGGACCAGGAGAGCCACTTGGAACAATCAGCATCAGAATGCAAACAATGGTGCCCTGTGCACCCTGGGCTTCTCATAAATGGTCCGGGCTGAGGCTGGGGAACCATTTGCAGCCCGGAGTAGATGAGAATGGAATATGTGTCAGCTCCACTCCTGGTTTCCTGCCCCATTCATGAGGGGTTGGGAGCTGTGATCAGAGCTCCTAGCTGTCCTGGCTTGCTCACAGCTGTGGGGAACCCTGATCTAGGTCTGTCTAAGAAGTCAAGGAGTTAGGACTATTAGAAGCATGGTAGAATGGGGCCCCAGTGGTGAAGCCTCTTGGCTGTGCCTACCTGGGCTGTTGTTTCAATCCTGAGGGCTGTCCTGGGAGTCCCAGAGCCAAGCATCTCAGGGGCTAGTTCCTTCCAAGTAGTGGCCTGACCCTGCCTCCTAGGAAGGGAGTGACCACTGCAGGTGAGATCATTCCTAACCTGTGTCTCTGTGTCCTTGGAAGCTATCCTCTGCAGATCCCCAGCCCAATGTGCTCTGCGGCCCCCTGCGACTCTCGGAGGATGGTGTGGCCTGGAATGAGGTGTGGGCTGCCATCCCCGCCTCAGCCCCTCAGGTGCTGCAGCTGCAGGGAAGTGGCCAGGTGTGTGCCCCATACCCCCTCCTGCCCCCAAACCCTTGGCTGTTTGCTGCCTGCTGCAGGTGTGGGCAGCCCTGTTGGTGACCCACCCCAACAATGTGACCTGGAGTCTCAGTTTCTCTTTATGCCTCTGCTCCTCACTCCAGGAAGACAGGAGCTAATGTTAGGATTCTAGATCCAGCCAGGGTTAGAGGTAGGGCAGGTAGAGGGCACAGGGTTGCCCCTGTCTTCCACCTCCATTCTTTCATTCACCCTTTCATTCTCGCATGCTGGGTGGCAGGGTGGGAAGCAGCAAGACCTGACCCATGCAGCCCTGCCCCAATCTGGGACCCTTGCTCAATCCCTTTTGGCCCCACATGCTCTTGCCTGTGTTTCAGGCGCTGCCCTCTTTCTCCTTCCATGGGCAGCAGTCCCACAGGGTCTGAGTGTCCAATGAGGTGTCATCCATGAGAGAGAGCCTGTGGGTGGCCTGTTTGTTGACAGAGGTCGGTCAGCTATGCCCACCAGGCCTGCCTGGCTCAGTGTCCTTGGTACCATGGGGAGCTGGGCCTGGCTGCCTGAGGGGACACACCGAGCCTCTCTCTTGTGCTGCAGGATGGCCCGCTGCTGAACACCATCCATCTACCCGGCTGCACAGTGCATGTGCCAGACCCCAAGGAGGCACAGGAGGCTGGGCACACATGGAAGCTGCAGCAGGCCCAGCAGTCTTGGTACCTGAGCAGCTCCTCCTCAGAGCTACAGCAGCGCTGGCTGGAGGCTCTGAGAGCCGCTGCCCATGGGGATACAGCTCAGGACAGTCCAGGCGTCCAGCAACCTCAGAGCCCAGCAGACACAGCTGCTCCATGAACAATGCCTCCTACAGATCTTTACATTGCCTGTGCTCTCCGGGGAGCTGACATCAGGGCCCTGTGAAGGAATGAGTCTGGGATGCTGAAGATAGGCTGATGACCTGGAGCTGGACATTTGGCCCTTGGGGTCTTCTGGAGGAAACTGAGGCCCAGAGTGGAACAGCCACCTGCCCACAAGGATCCAGCTAGTCCAAGGCAAAAGCTTGGTCTCCAGCGCCAGCCCCAGCAGTGTGCCCAGAGCAGTGAATATGGGCCACTATGTAAATCCACGTCATCTGAGCAGGCTGAGCAGCGGTGCCATCTCCAAAAGACAGAGGACTGTTGGGTGGTGCCCAGGGTTGGCAACATCCCTCCTGGTCTGTATTCACCACTGGGGCTGGTAGGGTTGTCTGCACCTCATCCTAGCCTCTTCCCTTGTCTTAGTTATTTTGTCTTTTTTCGGAGACAAAATACCCAACATCCACAGTTAAAGGAAGAAAAGGTTTACTTAGCTCACAGTTTGTAGAGGTTTCAGTCCATAATCAGCTGGCTCCAAGGTGGAGGTGGGGGTCACACGGCAGACAGGCATGGTGGCAAAGTAAGCAGGGGGGAAGGCCATCCCCTTTCTGTCCCTTATATTGTCTCCAGGCTGCCAGGATTAGGGTGATGCCAAGCCAGTGGGCTAATGTGGTAATCACACACCCCTAATTCCAACCTCACATGCTCTAGATTCAGCCATCTCAGAAAGCCCTACCTATGTTCAAATGAGGCCTTGGGGGACAGAGAAACACAAACCACCTCACTCCTCTTGCCTGCACTCTGTGAGCTGCACTGTGATCCGCTTTCCCTGGGCTCCACTCCCTTCTCTGTCCTCTGCCAAGGCTGGAGTCACCTGTGGAGGAGGGAATGGTGGCCTCCCAGGCCTCTCTGGATACATGCTGCCTGGGTCTGGGCAGCAACTCTGGGAGAGTGTGGCTGCCTCCCTGCAGGCAGATGCAGTGCTTCTCCACCTAAATAAATGCCAGCTGTCAGCGCGTGGGCTCAGCCTCAGGGTTCTCTCCCTCTCTCCTCAGTGGGTCACCCGCAAGGCAAAAATCTGGGGGAGGAGTAGAAGACAAATGACTGAGTTACATGGACTCCACACCTGGCTGGGAGCAACTCCGAATTCCTGGTGCTCTGAGAGGTGGGCGAGTGGCTGCACTATACTACAGGATAAGGGGCTTGTGTACAAGACATGAGGTGTCTTAGTAACTGTCTCGTTGCTGGGGCGAAATACCCAGCACCCACACGTTAAAGAAGAAAAGATTTATTTTAGTTCAGAGCTTGTAGAGATTTGAGTCCAAGGCAGTGCAGGAGAGAAAGAGAGGGGGGAGAGAGAGAGAGAGAGAGAGAGAGAGAGAGAGAGAGAGAGAGAGAGAGAGAGAGAGAGAGAGAAAGAGCAAGGGAGGAGGAGGGAACTAGACTTTCCAGGCCACACCTAATGACCCACCTCTCCCCACCATGCCTCACCTCCCAACACTCAGCTATAAACAAACCCACCCATCAGTAGGCTAATCAGTGCTAAGTATCCCCCACCCATGATCCAGTCTCCTCCTCAAAGCCCCCCACCTATGAGTACAGGAGGCTTTAGAGGGATACCTAGATATAAAACCACGACATGGACACATGACGAAAGTCATGGGGTATGCACCAAGCCCTGAGGCTGAGGGAGCCAAAAATAAGTGATTGTCACAGGTGAGGTTGCAGACTCACAGGTGTGGCAGGAGGGCACACAGGTGTGTGGGATGAGGCCCACCAGGCCACAGGTGAGGTAAGAGACAGGTGGGCTGTATGGAAGTCCCCTTACCCCCACATGTACCTGGGCCTCTGTCCTGAGTTCACCAAGCTTTGCTGGATCCCCTGATCCTATTTCACACTGAGGAAACTGAGGCTGAGAGAAGCGAAGTTACACCAAATAGTGCCCAGCTGGGAACTGGGCCAGGTCCTGGCAGCTGTTCCTCCAGGACTGCCTATTCCACCTGCTCTGGCTTTCAGCACAGGGGTTGAGGAGGGAGGGTGCCACCCACAGGTGGGAACTCTGCTATGCAGCTCTTCTTAGCCACACCCTGCCCTCTCTCCTGACCACTGGCTTCAGCCCTACCCAGGCTCTCTTAAAGGGCCAGACTCTGGCCTCAACTGCCCCTGCCATCTCACCACTACCCTGAAATTTCCACCCAATAGCTGAGGAAAGAGTCAGGCAGGGGAGGCTCCTGAGAGGCTCATGAAAGCAGGCAGATGGGGCACAGCAACTCCAGCAGGGAATGCAGTCTGTGGGGACCCAGAGTCTGCTGTGGGGTTTCCCAGCCCTAGCACAGGTCCCAGAAGTGACTCTACAGAGACAAGGTGTCATCCTGAGCCCTGGGCAGGATATGCCCCTTGATTGGATTGTCACCCCCTACCTATCCCCAGGCCTCACCACAATCCAGTCAGCCCAGCTCTGAGTTCATTTTGTTCACAGTGGTGGCTGTCGACTCTCCTTTCTTCGGTGTTGCATCCAGTGGAAAGGCTGCAGGGGCACAGCTGCCTGGAGTCTCCACACCTGAGCATCTGAGCTGTCCCCCACCACCACCAACATACTGCCCCTCCCTGTCCTTTCTCACACCCCAGACATATACCACCGCCCATCTTGGAGGCAGTACACCAGATGAACTGGTGCTTAATCTCTCTCCTCCTCCCATCCTTCCTCTTCCCATTCCCCATGCCAGTCCTGACCCTCACAAGGGGAGGGGGCTACCCCAGCTTTAGAGTGAGGGATCTCCTGGGTGGGCTGAGAAGGGCTCCCTGCAGCAGATATCTGATTGGCATTACAGTCAGGTCCTGGGTGGGGCTCTGCTGTGCTCACCTGACTGGTGTCCACATACCCTGCAGGCCAGTGCTCCTTGTGCCAGGCAGAACATTGGGTTTAACAAGGAAAAAGGAGCAAAACAGAGGTGAGGAGCCTGGCCCCTCAGAAGCTGCTGCAGAGCTCCCTGCCTGGGAGCTGTAGGTCCCTTCAGCAGCTGCTGACTGCCTCTCCCTTAAGCCCAGAGTACGCTGTTGGCTCTCCCCACTGTCCTGGCAAAGAGGAATGACTGCAGGCTAAGCAGCTCCTACAATCACCTGAGAGGAGAATCATGACTCTGGGAGCATCTTAAGAGGGGTGAAACTAAGGCCCAGAGAGGGGTGGCACTTGCCTGAGGTCACACAGTGAAGTAGGGACCAGCTGAGATTCACTCACCGTACCTCCATGTGTTCATACACCAGGCCCTGCTACTTGGCATGAGCCTCACCTCTTGAGTGCCCAGCTCCCTGGGAGCAAATGCGCTGAATGACTCTTGGGTTTCTGGGACCAAGGGGATTGGATACCCCCCATAGTTCCCGCGCCCAGCACACTTCCTGCCTGTTCTGTCATCCTGTCCCTGCCAAGCTCATTCCACCAGCCTTTGGAATGTCAGCCTTGTCCAGACCTTTGCCAGCTGTTTTCTGCTCCTGGGGACTCTGCCTGCAGCTCCAGATGTGGCTTCCTTGGCAAGCCCTTGCCCCTAGCTGCTATTTTTTTCTTTAGCTCATTGTTCTCTTATTTAACCTGCTTTCTTAGGCAGAACAAAAGTTTATTGAGGGAAGGATCTGGCACACAGCAACTGTGCAGTGAATGACAGCAGACAGCCCTTGGAGGTCTCAAGGTCGTGCCTGTCCTGCCACATGACCTCAAGCACTTTGGGCCTGGAACCCTCACTGTACAGATAGGAAATGAGGTCAGAATGATATAGGGGAGTGAAACTCTCAACCTGAAAGCTACCTGGGACAAGTTCGTGTTCTCTAAATCTGAAGAATGAATTTTAGGAACAAACAGAGGTTAAGAGCAGAATATTTTTATTGGGGGAAAGAAAGCTTCTGTCCAAGAGACAGACAGAAGACCAGAGTGGGTTGGCCAGGAACCTGCCGTTTCTAGGGATTTTTATAGAGTGAAACCTTGTGGTAAGGTGGGTCTAAAGTGGAAAATATGGAAACTTGCACATGAGGTGGGACGAAATTGTGGACAACCAAAAGGGTTACAAGCACAATTGCTCAGGTAAAATTGACTAAATCCAGGACCAGATGAGGAAGTGAGTCACGTAGCAAGTGGTCATGAATGTAGAACAGGAGTTTATCCAGCAGCCGGTAGTGGTTGGATTGGTGATTCTTCCAGGCTTCCTCAAGATGGTTATCAATCTCAGATCGTTTTTTTAGGGAGGTAAACATTTCTTCGATTTTTAGTCTTTAGGTCTGGCCCACAGCAGGAGCATCCATCTCTCTCAGTTGCAAGGGATCATGTCTTCCAGGCTGTCTCCTTCGAGGGCCTGGCCCTGTCTGACTGCTTATAGTCTGTCTAACTCAGCTGCCTACAACTAAGGAAGCCCGCACTCTCCTGCCTCTGCCATGGCCACTGGGTGCCAAGGCCATGAGACACTCCAGCTTCACCATAAAGACAGGAACACTGAGGTCACCATGCTCATAGGAGGGCAGAGGAGAATTCAGATCTGGGAGGGTCACACTACAGCAAAGTGGTTTCCTACATTCCCATGGAGGTAGGAGAACTACCCCCAAAAGCTGTGCCTTGGGGTGCCCTGGCCTCCACCCTACCATTAGTGGAGGTGTGCAGGCCCACTTCTGCCTCCATGAATCCATACTCATCTAAGCCCAGTGCTGGCACTGGGTGTCCTGGAAGGAGATGGCCCACTTACGTCTCTGCAGACCAGAGGTCCTCCAGGGGGATGTCAGGTAGCTGCATGGGGACCCTACTCCGGTGCCTCCTTGCAGGCTCCCTCCAGTGAGTAGGGCCAGCTGCCTACACAGGCAGCCCCTGGTACAGGGCAGTGGAGTCCAGCCCACCCACCCTTGTCAGCATCTCCTCTCTCTGGGTGCCATGTTCCCAAGGCAGTTGGATGCACCCTGCCCCAATGCGGTTAATGAGGTCATCAATTACTCTAGGTGAAAGGCTCCTACCCCATTCATGAAGGAGAAAACTGAGTGGAGAAGGGGCGCACTGTGCCGCAGTCTCCTCCTTCAGTTTCAGGGGTGTTGAATGAAGCTGGGGCCTGGGGGAGCCAAGGAGGGAGGGAACAAGGTCGGTAGAGGCTTGAGAGCAGCCTGGCTGACATTCTACATGCTGCATATAATGTCCCAAAAATCAGGCCTTCCTGTTGGTCTCCAGAGCTCTCCCTACCATCCTGCTGCATGAGTTTCTAGGCTCAGTGCCTGCTCCCAGGTAGAGGGTCTGGCCAAGGCCTCTACAGCCCTGCAGGAAGCTGCATCTCAGCCACAGTGGTCACAGCCACCTCTCACCTATTAGCTCTCCCTTGAACCCTGAGTGCAAGCATTCTTGGGGTACCTGAGGATGATGCCCACCCTCTCTGCTGTCCTTGTTTCCTCAGTGCCTCACCTGCCCCCTTGCCAATGAATGCCCCAGGCTGGTTCCAGGCTGAACCCCACACTGGTCCCAG